TCATGGCAGTCTTTTGGGAGAGGAATGTTGTTCCATTCTTGTCCGACAGCCCTTGGTCTTGTTTCCGTATTTTATGTTACAAAGACGGCAGTGTGTCCCAGTGATGTTCACATATGGCTTCTTCTTTGCATGTCAGAGCTTGTTGCAGATTGGTGAACCTCCGCCCATCTTCAGCTCTGAGAAACTGCCTCTCTAAGATATTCTTTTTATATCCAGTCATGTTACTGACCTGCTGCCAGTTAATCTCATTAGTTGAAAAATGTTCCTCAAACGGTTTCTTTTTAATGTCACTTACTTTTCCAGCCTTTTTGTTGCACTGATCACAACTTTTTGAGAGATGTTGCTGCTATTAAACTCTAAATGAGCTCAAATTTTCACAAAAAAGTCAAATGTCTTTATAGTTTAAACATTTATATGTTTTCTATTATATTGTGAATAAAATGTGGGTTTATGAGATTTGCAAATCATTGTATTCTGTTTTTATTGACAGCATATTTAAAAGTATTTGAAAAAAATATATGCTTAATTTAATTCAGTACCAGCAACATATTTTTGTAAAAAGCTGGGTGCTGTGACATCAGAGCTAAAGAAGAGAGCCTTGTTTTCAGTGCACAGTTCTAAGGTTACATCTGTGATCATGTGCGGTGCTGCAAACAGCATGGATAACTTGCTCATTTGTGAAAGGTCCATTAAACAATAATAATAAACAATTTGAATAGGTTTTGGAGCAACATATGCTGTCTCTCAAGGAACATTGTTTTTTCAGGGAAAGCCTTGCTTATTTGAGCATGACAGCACCAAACTACATTTAGCATGTAGTAAAAGAGACAGCAATCTAAAGTGGCATCCAGACCAGACCAATCACAAAAGGAACACACCAGGGAGGATAAGACACTCTGACTAAGAACTCTGACAAAGGAGGGCTCAGACTGTTGTTTAGGTAAACTGCTACATCAAGCAAAGAATGCTAAAAACAACAGCTAAAATAAGAGGCCGTGCAAGACAAAGGAGCAGGGTTGAAAATGGGTGTAATGTCCTGTAATGTGTATGAATTGGAATAATAATTTACTTTTAGTTAATTGCTGCTGCAACAAAAGCAGCATGATGTGCATAACCATAATCAATTCCTTTCCACTGGTTAATCAACTAACTTCATCTGTTTGTCTCTGGTGCCCTCTATGGGCAGTGTTTTTGTCTCCTTCTTATGTCCTGAAAACAAAAAAGAAATTCTGCAAATTTTGCACAATGCGAATCTCAAGTATATGCTCTGATCAAAACCAAAGATGCACTAAAATACGTGGATTCGTGTTTCTGCTCACTTTATTAAGCTCACTGTTATTGTTAAAGGAAAATTTTACAATATAATTTCGAAAAACGCAAACTAGCTAATATATTCACGAGCTCTCTCAGACTTTTGCACCCCATTAGTATTTCTAAAAGTATATCAATGTTCCATTATGTACTGCTGATAGCACCTATTTAGAAACCAACCATCTACTAGTACATTATCAGCTACTATGGCTGCTTATATTACATTATTCATCACAACATGGTTTTCAGCTGTAGCACTAAAGTGCACTTATTAGAGTGAGACTGCAATCTCCATGGCGATCAGCTAGTCTTGTATATATAACTGCATGTTTTTCAGGTTCAAGAAAGAAACCATTATGTGGGCTGTCCATTCAAAGTGTCCTTGGATTTTGAGAATAGTTTGATGGAGGGAAAAAAAAAGGCTTTGTATCATGTTCTGACTTCTGCACTGAGCTCACAAATGATTTGGTATGCTCCAGTGATACACCTTCTCCCTAAAACATCAGCATATCTCTCCTCCAGAAATATAAATTTGATTTATATGTTAGTGTACCGTGGAAAAATAACATCAGCTTTCTGACTCCGGAGGTTCTGCAGAGGACTCATCGCCAGGTCATCTATGATTCATAAAGCAAAGAGTTGCTCTGTTTCAAGCTTCAACACTCGAAAAAGTCGTGAGGAATTCAGAAAATAAAGGGGCTTCCAGAGTATGCGATCACAGTTCAGGAATAATAAAATCCGTCATGCACAGATTTATGTCGGGCGGTGCAGGGATGTGTTGTTAAGTGGGATTTGTTATGAAAACACTGTGGAACTGTTAAATAACAGATATAAATATATATACGGCAAATGGCTAATGTCTCCGTGACAGCGTTTCAGGATAAGAGGATAAACAAAATTAATTTGCGCTTGCACGTCACACCTCAATTGTCCATGATATTGGCAATTATCTGTACTCTGTCTACCAAACATTTACCCAGAATTAGACAGGAAGCACCTGCAGGTCAAATGCTAAAAATAGAAACGTGCCAGAACAGATCAGAGTGTTTCGTGCCCCCCCTCCGAACAAAGTAAGATCGTAATTTAAAACAATCCGGATAACTTTCAGAAAGCTGCAATGCACCAACTGAAAAAAGTCTACTGTATATTTCTAGACCAATCTAGCACTTTTGTCTTCCTCCAAAGGAATATTTTTCACAAGCGGGGGCCGTGGGGGGCTCCGTGCTTCTATAAAAGGAATGCATTTTGAATGAGCCTGCTGACGCAGAAACTGTGGGTGTATAAGAGATGACACTCGGCTCTGTTTCGCTGGACACATGGGAAAGCAACTGGGTTGGTGAGGTTGTGATTGCCTCTCGGTGACTGGAGACTCTTGAAAGAGCACAAGAGATGAACACAACTGAGAAGTTTTATCTTCCCGTTGATGGCATTCTCGAAATGTTGAACTCTCTCACCGGGCATCTACAATCAAGCATTACGCACCCAGATCTTCAGAGCACCTCACTCGGTCCAGTGCTCCAGCACCCCAAAGTCTCAAACATAGCGACAGGCATGGGGCTCGTCAAAAAGGTTAAGGGGTGCTGGAGACAGCAGGATACGAGGATAGTTGTGAGTAGATCCTCAAGTTCTGGCAATCGGCAAGTGTCGGCTGATCGACTCCCGAAGAGGTCCGTGGACCTGCTGGAGTTGCGTTTGACCAAGCCCAGAAATTGTCATAGAATAGTTGTGCTTGGTGCGCCCAGAGTGGGTAAAACAAACATTCTCCGGCGGTTCATGGGGAAAGACTTTGAGGAGAGCTATGAGCCCACAATCGAAGACTTCCACAGAAAGCTGTTCCACATAGGAGGAGAGGCATACCAGGTCGATCTTCTGGATGCGGCAAGTGAGAGGGACTTCCCTGCCAAACGCAGACTATCCATCCTGACAGGTTAGGAAGCAGTGCTGTATTAGATCTGTTTTTAAGGGATGTTGTTTTTTTATATTTTGAAAATGAATGCTAACTACCTTAATTTACATCTGATGTTCTTTGTCTCTCCAGGTGACATTTTTCTGCTCGTCTTCAGTTTGGATGACAGAGAATCTCTGAGTGAAGCCTGTGAGCTGCTCAGCGAAATCAAAGCTGCTAAGGCAAAGTTGCTGAAATTAAAACAGCCAGTGAGAGTGCCAGTCATTGTATGCGGTAATAAAGGGGACTTAGACTCAGAGAGAGTCGTGAGACGGCCAGACGTGGGGAAAATTCTCGGCGAGGATATCCCATTCTTCGAAACCTCTGCTAAAACCGGCACCGGGCTGGACGCGATGTTCAGAGCCCTTGCCTCTCTGGGTGGACTACCTCACGAGACCAGTCCATCGAGACATCAGGTCATACCCATCCTCACCTACCGGTCGCTGTACGTCGGCCAGCGAGGCAGGAGGGGTAGCCGTACGCGGGTACTCTCTGCGCCCTGTGCCGCAGTGGACCCTCTGGCGCGCCGCCCGAGCTTCAATAGCGACCTGCAACTCGTGCTTGGATCAAGCACCAAACACAACAAACCCGAGAAGTGTCAGATTCAATGAATTGTGAGACTTCTCGACAAACAAATTGTAGTAGTACGCTGCAATATGGTATACGTAAAGAGTTATACTCTGTAGCACCTGGCTGGACCAGTGCATTCTTATCGTGTTTTTTGTATATCCCTGCTGTATAACCCTGTAATAAAAGCTGAATATTTCCAACTATCTTGCGTGTTTTGTGTCCTTGCTTTCCATCCTTCCGTTTGTTACAAAACATTTAAGAATCTCTTCACAAAGAGACGGGCACGGCCAGATTACGCACACTGACGTAAGCAGTCACTTCTCTTCGAGTGATGATGTAAAAACCTCGAGTGTGGGAGGGAGTTCAGAGCCATGGGTGGATGATTCAAACGCAGACCTTCAACATCTTCCAGTATCTGTTGTCAGTCTCGAGAGTTTTTGCACGGTTTGTTTAGAACGCCCACGGCTTAGTGAATGGCTTAAAGTACAGAGGTGCTACAATGCCTATTAATCAGCCGAGGTGGTGTACGCGCTTGTGTGTCACCATGGCAGTTGGAGGAAACAATGAGTGATAGCGCATGATTTATTAAAGAGGGGAAGGTGGGCGAAAGGAGAGAGACGGAGTGAGATCAGCACCATGGAGAGAGCACAACGATTATTCAACTCGGCATTTAATATTACTGACACTGACAAGAAGTTCAGTATATTTGCTTAAAATAAACCTCTCTAAATAATAAAACGGAAGTGGATCAATAAAACCCACTTTGGAAAGCTAAACTAAAAGTTTACTGACAAATTTGTCTGGTACATTCACAAATGAGCATCAGAATGGGAACGAAAGGGGATTTAAGTACCTCTGATCACAGTGAACCCATCTTCTAATGGCTGCTAAAGCTTAAATCATCTCAAACTGGTGCTCAACATGCCTCCACAGTCACCAGATTTCAATCTACAAACAAGGTTTAAAAGGTGCTGATGTACCCGCATGTACTTTTTAAGTGACAGGGCACTAGCTGGGTTTTCAATACACAGTTGAATCATAAAGATCTGTATTTCCAGACCTAGTTCATGGAAAAATAATAATGTCTGAATATGTCTCATGACAGTAAAGTTCCTTGAGATAAGACTCAATCCTTTTAAATGGACTAAATATTTATTATTTATTCTCTCATGAGGGGGAGTTTTTTATATATATATATATATATCTAGATATCCCTTTACTCACCAGGAAATTAATGTTCATCCATCTGGTATGATTTCCAGGGATTTGAGAAGACATGCAGCACCTGCAGTGATATCAATAAAGTCCGAGAACAAAATGATTGCTTACTCGGAGGCTTTACTTGGTATAATATAATTTGTTCACCCTCTAAAACTTCCCACTCACCGTGTACATTTGCTGAAAAGACTATGACATCAATCCAAAACAATTTCCTGTTTATTGTCAGAGGTATAATTATGATTAAACGACAGCAACAGCAGCAATTAAAGCTTTAGTGCAAAGTGTATCCGTTGTAGTAATGACTGCATGAAAGCATCTGGAGACTTAAATCCAAGACTCGTTCTAACCGGTGGGAGAGGCAACACGGACATAACACAATATGCTCGATCGCTGCTGGGCTGCACTCATTAAAGATAAAGTCACGTTTGCAATGGTATGGAAAATGATGAAAAGCCTTCACTAACACGTTTAAAAGGTGTACCAAACAAAACTGTTGGTTTTTATATGTTTTGACAGCCACGAGCGTATCTGCTTTATAAACATTTGTGTCATTGAAGGTTGGAGGTGTTCTTGGTTTGTCTGCCAGCAGACTCAGAGTGGTCCCTGTGAGGCTTTGGGGGAAATTTGTCTTTCCAGCTCCACCAGGAGAGCTGGAAGGATGCTGTCCAGTAAGGCCAGTCCTTCCCAGGAGCACCTCAGACCTCTGACAAGGAAAAAAGAAAAAAAAGACACAAATGATTTAACCTTCAAGCTGTAGAGACGTTTTAAATACCGTGTGCTGGGGAAATCAGAACAGACTATTCCCCTTATTTTCTGTCACCTCATGCACCAAACAGTTATATAATAAGGGAAATATTATCAAATAATAAAAACAATTGTTAGGTTGGCTTCCGCACAGGTAAGGAAACTTAAAAAGAAAATTAAACATCATAAGTCACCTGTCATCGAGAATCAGCTGTCCGCTCTGTAGCAACTCTTGGACGACAATGGATTCACCAAAAACTTCATCAAGGCCAGTTTGTGGGCTGAACATCTCCCAGTGCTGTTAACATAATTTAAAAAAAAAGTCTCTGCGAACTGAACATTATCTGCCGTGACAGAAAATACAATGAAAGATTTATTTTGTGTGCTTTACCTTATGATTAATGCCCTCAGTCATTCTCATTCCCATCACCAACACCTCCTCCAATCTGCCAAGCAAACATCTTTCATAACTTAAACTGAATACAGAACAGCAAGGACAGAACAGAAAGAGTAAAAGGCTTGAATACAAGTCTCATAATAGCATCTCACAAGGACAGAATGTTTGAGAGAACAAGCACATGTGCCACGGCCTCAACGCTCAGTGTGATAAATTACACTGTGGACTGTCTCAGACTTCACTGCTACATTTCACATGCTCAGAGCATTTCTGGGCATCTGTCTCTGCCTGGAAGTGCAACGGCGTACAATTCAAGATGGCCAAGCTGAAGCCGCCTCCGCGTCCCGTGTCCCCAATGCCGCACTTCACGGATCCACACGTCAGGCTCCAGAGTCTGGGTCCGGGCCTCTCGAACAACACCTCCCTCCCCCAGAGGAACAAACCGCCCATGTGCTCCTGTGTCAGAGACAACAATATAAAAAGCACAGTTTCCAACAGGAGCATAACCGGAGCGATTTAGTGCTTTAGATCCAAGTATTACCTGGGCCGACACCGATGTATTGGTTGCCTTTCCAGTAGCTGATATTGTGATGACTCACTGAGTTCTACATTACACAGAGAAAAACATTTACTGAGTGTTTATGAGGGAGAATAGTAAAACTGTCATATTATGGAGATTTAATGAAGACAGAAAACCAAACACAAAGTTAAAAAGAAGCTTAAAAATAAAACTTAGTAGACTCTGCTGGGGAAAAACGATATAAATCTTTGGTTTTCGATAGAACTGGACATTTAAATCTCGCTCAATAACCTCGAAAACATCCGATGACTCTAAATTATACAAGAAAAATATGGATGCCTATAAAACAGAGGACTGAACATGTAGTTTGTTGTACGTATTTTGTTTTTTTACAATTAAGAGTGAAGGAAGACTTTTTTTTTTTTTTTGCATGAACTGTAAACAGTGAAGCCACTATCAGTCAGATTGAGATGACTTGAGCTTTGTGATATGGCACGTTATTCTGAAAGCAGTCAGCAGAAGATGACGACACTGGTCGTAAAGCGATGGACATAATGAGTGACAACACTCACATAGACTGTGGCGTTCACCATTATAAACCACCAACAACCTGAACTGTTGCTACAAGGCAGGATGGATCCATGCTTTCATGTTTATGTCAATTTCTGACCCTACCATCCGAAAGCTGCAGCAGAAATTGAGAATCATCAGATCTGGCAACATTTTTCAATCTTCTATTATCCAATTGTGGTGAGACCGTGGGAATTGTAGCTTCAGTTTCCAGTTGTTAGCTGACAGCATGGTATCTGGCATGCTTCTTGAAGATTTGGTGTGGTGTGCAGTCAGAGATGCTCTTCTGCAAACCTTAGCTGTAACGAGTGGTTATGTGAGTTACTGTTGCCTTCAAGTCAACCTGGTCATTCTCTTCTGACCTCTTAAGATTAACAAGGCATTTTCTACCAAGGAAGTGTTGCTGAGTGGTACTTTCACTTTTTCAGGCCATTCTCAGTAAACCCTAGAGATGGTTGTGTGGGAAACTCGCAGCAGATCTGCAGTTTCTGAAATACTCAGACCAGCCTGTCTGGCACAAATAACAATGCCACATTGTGAGTCACTGAAATCAGCGCTCTTCTATTAATTCTGATGCTCAGTTTGAATTTCAGCAGGTCGTCTTGACCGTGTCTACATGCCTAAATGCAATGAGTTGCTGCCACTTGATTGGCTGGCTAGGTATTTGTGTTAATAAGCATTTAAACAAGTGTACCAAGGAAGTGTTTTTCTTTTATTTATTTTCTCTTTTCATTCTCCGAACCTTCCTTCGATTTAACACATCATTTTTGTGTATAAAACGGATGCATGATAAGGTGAAGCGTTAAAGTACGGTTTTGTTACAGCAAAGACTTACATGTCTTGCAAAATTCGACACCTCGTACTGTTGAAAGCCGTGCTGGTGCAGAGTCTTCCTGGCGCGCTGGTACATTTCTGCTGTCACATCCTCGGAGGGCATCGTCACTGCACCGCACTCAACCTGTTTAAAAAGCTGAGTGCCTCGCTCCAGGGTCAGCTGGTACAGAGACACGTGATCATCACACACCCTCAGCAGCTCAGACAACTCTATTTCCCAGGATTCAACGGTTTGTTTGGGACGTCCGAACATGACATCCACCGACACCCGACCAGGGCACAGCCTCCTGGCCTCTTCGATAGTCTGCAAAGCCTCGTGGGAGTCGTGGTCTCTTCCCAGACTTTTCAAGTCCTCATCCTGCAAAGACTGAAGATAGAAAGTTTGATCAGTGTTGTTCCATAAAATGAAAAAAGTTCTCACCTTACCCCTTCAGAATCAAATTATTAACGCAATTTTCAGAGTTACATCACCTCATAATACATATAAGTGGGTCAACATTTTTGAATTGTGTTATTTTTCCAATATTATCGAGTCAGGAGATAGACAGATGGAAAGATTAAGCTCTGAAAACACATTTAAGCTCTGTTCCAACTGAAATCTACTATGTAAAATCCAAATTGCAATTTTCATTGCATGCAATTTAATGTCTATGATGCAGAGCAAAAGAAGCAAGCACTGGTACCCTAGATGTGTGATTTGGACCTGACAGGACTAAACTTCAAAAAGTGCGTTTTAAATAAATGTCATCACACAGAAGAGGGGATTTAAAAAAAAACATGAACACAATGATAGGCCTGGAGTGTAAAGTTGCAACTAACCACTAAATGCTTTGAGTAAAACAGCTGGAAGGCCCTGCTTTTCCGTGGGCTTTCATGAGCACCCGAGGATTACGCTCACCTGGACCCCGATGGAAAATCGGTTCACCCCGGCACGGCAGTAGTCCTCTAACCTGGACTTTCCCGCAGGAGTGGGGTTGACTTCGAGGGTGACCTCGGCCTCATCTGAGAGATTCACCTGCCTGGAAACAGTCTCGAGGATTGCAGCAAAGATGGAGGGGTGGGCCAGGTTTGGAGTCCCACCACCAAAGAACACTGAGGTGATGCTACAAATGAAAACCAGATTGTGATCTCAGCTGCAGGTTACAGTTACTGATTGTCAGGTTTAATAAATGCACATACCAGGATACTTGACTGAGTCGCAGCAGTGTCTCAGTCTCCATCTGAAGGCACTTAGTCATGATATGGTCATTGTTCTCTTTGGATATGTACTTGTTGAAATTGCAGTAGGAGCACCTCCTGAGACAGTAAGGCCACTGGGGGAGGAAGAACCTTATAGTCATGACACAGCCCACTTATGCTTAAATCAGGTGAGTCAACATGCAGTTACGGATACATGTGCGCGTGATGTTCTCAGAAAAAGAAAAAAAGAAGCTATAGCTCACGTGCACATAAAGAGACGCGCGCTCTGTGATTTGTGGAGATGCCGCACATTCAGACACATCTTCGGTTACTTCTCCGCCCGAGAAGTGCCGCAGTCGGGGAGGGAGGACACGACTGACCGCATTTAATGTGCGTCTCATCATTTTGGAGACAGCGTTTGTTTCGCCACGGGAGATTACATTCTCCGACCCGAACCAGAGGTTACCTCAATACCCGGCTTCATCACTCAAACGGTATGCGTTTCTGTGACAACAAAATAGCGTAAATTCACTTTGTATTTACGCTATTTGAAGGTGCAGTCAAGTCGCTCCAACCGGAAATACATGGAGCGATTTCCTCTTCATGTTCCCAGTTTGGCCACAGCGGGGCGCTGTTTTACCACAGTAAGAAATACCCGAAGCACAAGAGGGTCAGCCAGGTTTTTAGGTTTGCAACATTTGCTTTTGGTGAAAAATATGTATTTTCACACAACATCGTCTCCAGTTTTTACCCAAAACATGAAAACGTTGCAGCGGTAAGGGTTTAAATATATTATAACGCTAAAGTAGAAATGGAAAGAAACTCCTTGAACTCTTGGGGTTTATTATATAACCATGTATGACCTTTACAACCATTAAACACTACGATCAATGTTATGTCATAACAAATCTCTGTAAGTACCATCTGCAGTTATCATTATTATTGCAACATTAATGAAATCCTTGCTTGTGTGGGACTTGCACATGTGTTATGTAACTATGAGACTATCAAAATGAATTATTTCTTTGTTTTTCTTTTCTTTTCTTTTTTTTGACATTTCAGGTCTAACTGTAATACACTCATATTTATATAGCATTTTCCACTCTAACCACTCAAAGTGCCTTTAAACTTCATGCTGAATGGCCCTAGCCAGGATTTAACCAGGAACCCTCTCTTTGTGAAGTGAAATTGGTAATCATTGGCATCAAGGCACTCTTTGACCTCTGCTTGTCATGTAGGGTTATATATTATAACTCCTATTCTTTCTTTGCACTAACCTGGTCAAATGTGGCCCTTGAACTCTGTAACCACCATCCCATAACAGACAAGGCCCACACAGTTTTGAAGTTTCAAGAGTCCCTAAAATTCATAGTTTTCCTTGATTTTACTAATGGTAGTGAATCTGAAATACATTTGGATAGATACAGGTCAAATCTGACCCCAAATAGCCTCACTATATATAAAATTTGCAAAAGAATCAAACAGTATTAAATATTTATAACACGTAGGGTATTTTTGCTGTTGTCAAAGTTTAAAATGGTTCAAATTTGACAACATGCTGGAAGGTGAATAGTATTGTTAGTATTCTATGATTTAGAGGCTGATTTTAGGCTATTTCTGATTAAAATATGATTTATATGGGCCTTATATTGAAAACGATGCAGTTTATTTAGGAGCCTATGGATCATAAGTAATCTTTGTTGGGCACACCTGTTCAACTGCTTGTTATTACTTCTAGGCTGAACTACATTCAGCATTATCAAGATGTCCTAAAACTCTCTGAAAAGGCTTCAGCTGATCCAAAATGCTGCAGCAAGAGTTCTGACAGGGTCCAGAAAGAGACAGCTTGTCTTCATTGGCTCTCTATTAAATCCAGAATCGAATTTACAATTCTGATCCTATCATACAAGGTCTTGAATACTCAGCCCCCACTTTATCTTAAAAACCTCACAGTACTCTATCACCTCTACAGAGCACTCTGCTCTGAGACATTGGGAGACAGGCACACTCTCTACTTTTAAGATTAGGCTTAAAACTTTTTTTTAAGGCTTAAAGTTTATAGTTAGGGCTGGATCAGATAACCCTCAGTCCTAATGTAAACCTTCCCTTTGTGGGAAGGCTGCTTGGGGATTCCCACAATGCTCAGTGTTTCTTCTTAATTTACCTTTTTAAGTGTTTATATATCACTCAGCATTTAATCATGAGTCATTATTAATATCTGGTTCTCTTCCACAGCGTGTCTTTATGCTGTCTTCCTACCCTCACTCCCAACTGGTTGCGACAGATAGCTGTACCTCCCTGAGCCTGGTTCTGCTGGAGGTTTATTCTTCCTAAAATGAAGTTTTTCCTCTCCTGTCACCAAAGCCATTGCTCATGGGTTCATATGATTGCTGGGGTTTTCCTCTGTTTTCTCTGTATTACTGTATGGTCTTTACCTTACAATATAGAGCACTTTAAAGCTAGAGTTGTTGTGATTTGGCAATGTATATAATTGAATTGAATAATACAAATATCTGGAACCAACTCAGTGGACCGACACATGTAACCATAGTCAAGACAACCTAGAGACTTTCAAGGGTATGGTTGGGTTGATCCACTGGTAGATTATGTGGGAATTCTTATGAGCATAGCTGATACATTAAATAAAGACACAAGTCTATATTTGGAAAATAAATGTGTGTCCCACTAACACACGATGAAACTAACTAATGAGATATTGATTTTTCCGAAGCCTAGCACACAGACAGTAACACAGCCTAGAACAGCTGCTTTAAAAACGGATTATTTTTTAACTAAAGATTAAAAATACAAATCAGGATTATAGGCAATAAATGTCTTCATCATTCTGATATGACTGCAATCATGGATCCATGTCGGTGCTACTCATCATCAGATGAGTGTGATCCTCACTTGATAATTCAAATCAAAACAAATAACGCATGCATGTATACCTGCTCTCATTTTGTTGCCATGATGCCAGGTCTCTCTTGGAAATGAGATTTTTAATCTCAATGAGATTTTTTTACCTGGATAAATAAAGGATTAATAATAATAAAATTTACTGCAATATAATTTCCAAAATAAGACAGTGTTCATACATTCAATCAGTAATAAATCTAAAGCTTTAATTACACATAGATTAATATTAATGTCAATAAATGTGAATATGTTCACTGCCAGCTTCCAGCCCTGAGGTCATTTTCCACTTAATATAAAATCTAGTGACCAGTTATCTAATCAGCAGATACAGTGAGGCAGACAGAGGGAGAAACGGGAAACACACAGGAATATATTTTCACCGAACTCAAATGTGTGAAGTCGGTTCAAGGAAAGGTTTTAATAATTTCCAAATTAAAAAAACAAACAAACTACTGAATCTGTGATGTGAAGCTGCCAAATGGATACAAGGAAGAAAGGTAGGCTTTCCAATAACCATGAAAACATGACAAAGAAAGGATTTGATGTGGTTTCTCTTTGCTCTAGGCACAAAGGCACAAAGGGGAATATTCTCAAGTTGCATGTCAGGCAGGGACTGTGGGAAAATACCTAAAGGTGGAGAAGGAGGAGTTGAACCTTGGGTTTAACTTTAACAATAAAAATCAAACTACCCTACTTACTGTTAGATTTTACTGCACACATGTACCATAAGTTATGTTCAGAAAGTAGGATGAACCAGACACATGCACACACAGCCCTTTTCAAACATGCTTTGCATTGCATTGATATCAGAAAAAGTATAAAATAAGACAAACACAAACAATATGGTGTTAATGATGTTAATTGCTGATATTGTAGCTTCTTTTGACATTTTTTTTTATTGTTTTCTGAGTTTATTACACACTTAAAAAATATATCTTTATCAATCTGATCCCAATTGAATTTCTGTTTGTTTTTTTAATTTTTAAAGGTGGTGCCATAGAATTAAGGCTCATGGTGGTTGGTAGCAGTGGACCTTCTCAGTTCCTACTAACCAATTCCATACTTGGGAGACAGGTGTTTTCTAAGGATGTCACCAGCCTTTCTGGCAGCATAAAGAACAACGGTGAGCTGGCTGGTAGACGAGTGGCAGTGATCAATGGACCAAACATCTATGATAAGGATATATCTAAACCTAAGAGGAAGATGGAGCTAAGGAGGTCCAAGTGCTTATGTATACCTGGTCCCCATGCATTTCTTGTTGCCTTTGACATGGAGAAAATCTCCCCCAATGATGTGAGAACCTCCAGACTGATGAGGGAACGCTTTGGAAGACACTGTCTGAGACACGCCATGGTCCTCCTGGCCTATGAAGGAAATCAGAATAGAGCTGCCTTGGAAGATAGGGTGAAGAAGACAGATTGGCATCTGCGAGAACTCATCGAGAAGTACGGTGGACGCTTTCACCTTTTCAACAAGAACTGGAGAGATCGAAGTCAGGACAGAGAACTGTTGAAGAAGATAGAGCTGATGGTTGCCTCGTTAGGAGGAGGCTACTTCTCCAGCAGAACTTTCCAGAAGGCAGAGGACTGTGTAAAGAAGGAGGAGAATAAGCTTAGGAAGCAGCGAGCAGCAGAGATAGAGAAGGCATGGGCTGAGATGGAAAAGCAATACATGGAAGAGGAGCTGTACTTCCAGAAGGATGCCTATACGGCTAATATTGGCGCAGAGATTAGAGCTCAAGCGGAGATCGACAACAGCTGGCTCAGGACGTCCCTAGCCAGAGGCCTGGGGACGGGTTTTGTTGTGGGGGCTGTGATGGGTGCGCTGGCTGGGTCTATAGAGGGCCCAGGAGGGATGGTTCTCTATGGGATCATAGGTGGTGCAGTGGGTGGATCAGCAGGGGGAACAGCACAGGTGGCAATAAAGCATATGGACAACAGAATGGCCCCGACTGCCAGACTGAACTTCAACTCAATCTTTATTAACCGCTTCTTTGCAGCTCCTCGTACATGACATAGGGAACTGACTGATGACCTGATGAAAATAAAAAACTTACTCTTTGTATCCAACTTCTGGTTAGGTAGCTTTCTGACTTACTTGATAACAAACTAGATAGCCGTCTTAAGCCCTCTTTCATCTCAAGAACATACGTGTAGTACGAGACTATTTCGACAGAAAACTTGAAAGGTTTCCAGTGGCATCAATTCAAACTGTGACAACCAGTTTAAACTATAAATAGGCCTATTATAAATAAATGAAGCTGTGATTTTAGCACATTTATAGCAGATTTGTGTGAACACTTTATATTTTATTCAACCTCCACCTCTTCCTGGTGCCTTGCTGTGGATTAGTTGAAGTGCAACTCAAATAACACGTAGGGCGGAGTCTTAGCTGAACACGCCATTGTCTAAAGCGCTGCCACTTTCCTAGACAATCCACATACCTCAGTACACCTGTTCAGTGTGAACCAGTGAAGTTTCTGTGTATTATTAACTAAATTAACAAGTACAAGCCATACAGACACCGCTCCTACCCAGAAAAGATCGACTAAGTAAAGGTAAGATCACATTTCCTTTAATACTTTTTAACAAATGTGTCTGTTTTCACAGAGTTACCTGTGTGCTGATTTCCTGTTAGTCCTCTCAATCTTTTATGGCCATGTTGCATAATCGTAACCTGTTTCCTATGTTACAAGGGAGTACAAGGGAGTCTGAACTGAGGATTGCACATTACATTAAAACGATCTTGAGAATTTAGTGAGTTCATTTTTGTTTTGAGTAGTAGCTTCCTCATGACACAAGAAAACTATTTGGCAAATACCAGTTTGACTGCATATTTTGCTGCCTCTGTTTGTTATCTATCTGCTGGTGCTCACACTGGCTGTGACAGTGGCAATCAAAACACGCAGAGATAGAAAGAGATAACGGGGTAAAGTTCAACAGCAGGGCATTAAAGTATAATCATGTCCAGTTGTTTCTGCCTCTTTAGTCTGTGTAGAATGAGAGTAATCCATTCTGTATGAGAACACAATGTTAAAACATGACGCCCTGAATTCCAGTGAAAATATTTCTGCCATGAGTAAATCCGCCTTCTCTCACGCGAAATGTGAGCTGAATCCTGAATTTTTACTGTTGTTTAATAAGCATGGATTTTAAAGTCAAACCTTAAGTATCTGTGTCTAAAATCTTGGGTTGTGGTGGTACTAAAGTGTCTGAAGTGTGAGAAAATATCCCACAGGTCATTGCACCAACACCACCAACCTGAACTGTTGACGCAAGGGAGTGCGGATCCATGCTTTTGTTTACTCCAAATTCTGATTCTAACATCTGAACATGGCAGCAAAATGAAACTGAGAGTCATTTGTCCAGTCTTTTATTGTCTAATGTTGGTGATCCTGTGCAAACTGTAGCCTCAATTTCCTGTTCTTAGTTTACAGAAGTGGCACCTGGTGTGGTCTTCTGCTACTGAAGCCCATCTGCTTCAAAGAGATGCTATTTTGCATACCTTGGCTGTAACAAGTAGTTATTTGAGTTATTGTTGCCTTCCTTGAAGCAGTCTGGTCATTCTCCTCTGACCTCTCACTGGATACAATCTCTTTTTCAACCATTCTCCATAAAGCCGAGAGATGGTTGTGCAGGAAAACCCCAGTAGCCCAGGGTGATTTTCTGCCAAGTACTATGCTACATCGAATGTCATTTAAATTACGTTCTTCCCCATTCTTATGCTCAGTTTCAACTTCACGTCATTCTGACTATTTCTACATGCCTAAATGCATGAGTTGCTGCTATGTGATTGGCAGATTAGATATTTATGTTGACGAGCAATTAAACGGACTCACCTAACAAAGTGGCCAATGACTAATACACTTGAAAATTCATAAAACATATGATAAGCATCTTGTAATATGAGTAACAGTGACTAGTACTTTTGATACTTGTGTACCGTCATAGTGCGCAAGTAAAATCCTGGATGCAGGATTGAGCATTTACACAATTATGTGTTAAAAACACAAATCTACTTTATATGGGGCGATCGTGGCTCAAGAGTTGGGAGTTCGCCTTGTAATTGGAAGGTTGCCGGTTCGAGCCCCGGCTTGGACAGTCTCGGTCGTTGTGTCCTTGGGCAAGACACTTCACCCGTTGCCTACTGGTGGTGGTCAGAGGGCCCGGTGGCGCCAGTGTCCGGCAGCCTCGCCTCTGTCAGTGCGCCCCAGGGTGGCTGTGGCTACAATGTAGCTGCCATCACCAGTGTGTGAATGGGTGGATGACTGGAAATGTAAAGCGCTTTGGGGTCCTTAGGGACTAGTAAAGCGCTATATAAATACAAGCCATTTACCATAGTACTTTTAAGTTGGGACTGTTAACAAGATGGTTTCATTGCATTTGTTTATCAAACGACTTCTGTTGGCACTTCTCACTTACTCTTAGGTATCACTTTTGGTTTAGTCTTTGCTTTACTATTCAAACACAACACTCCCTTAAAAGACTTCGATATGCACAGCAGGAAAAAGCTCTGTTTCTTACTTTTTCTGACATAATTTCTTTTTCAGATCATGGCCTCTACCATCTGCTTGCTCCCTGAGAAGCACTTCTTGTGCTTTCTGTGTAGGGACATCTTCACCAGCCCCGTAACCATACCATGTGGACACAGCTTTTGCTTGTCCTGCCTGTCCAAATACTGGACACGACATCAGTTGAAATACTGCCCTCACTGCAGGAGACTGTTCACAGACAAGCCTGACCTCAGTGTCAACCACATACTGGCAGACGTATCTGAAAACTACAGGAAGTCTCGACCACAGAAACCACCAGATGAGGAAACGGTACTCTTTTGTCTGTTATCTAATAACAGGTGATCTAATCTAATAAATCTAGTGTATTTTTGTGTGCTGATGCAAATCGTTTGCACATTCACAGGTTATAGATGTTAACCAAATGATTCAGGAAAGGGTGCAGAAGATAGAAAGACTGAAATACTCTCTCGGGCTACAAAAGGTGAGTGGAAATATCTATAAAACTTAAACATGTATAACATAATTTATATTTTTTCTTTATTTTCCTTTGATCTGTACATCATTAAATGATGTTGCTGTCCAATCAGAACTCTTACCTCAGAGAGGTGCGAGAGAGTCAGAAGATCTTCTCTGCACTTGTAAATGCTATGGAGAAGAGCCATAAAGCTGTTGTTGCTGCAATTGAGGAGAGGCAGAGAGAAGAGGAGAGCAGGGTAGAAACACTGGTCAAAGAGATCGAACAGGAGATTGAGGAGCTGAGGAAGGAGACCAAAGAACCGGACCCTCAGATCTCTGGTGATCAGAGTGACGACTTGAAGCGACCTGCCAAGGTAAGTTATCTCCATCTACTGCCAAATGCATGATGATGATGTGATTTGAAGCATAATTGTAAAATCTTTCCAACACTGCGAATGCTATTTAGCCCTGTGAGATGAAGGACTGGTCCAAGGTTACCATAGAAACTGATCCTTGTATTGGAGTCACCAGAAGAGCACTGTCAGACGTGTTGGAACAAATAAAGTTAGAAGTCAACAGACTCTCCAAAGCTGGTGGGTGGTGCTGTTTTAATCTTGTGTGCATCATATCAATCTTAAAAGATAAATTCATTGACATTCTTTTTTTCCCCCCCCTGTTGTTCGTTTTTAGAACTTAAGAGAATCGAGAAATACTCAGGTAAGGTTCTCGCTGTGCAGAAATACATTTTATCAACTTTACAAAAATGATTAGGGATTGAAGATTATTTTTGTGGATAATATCAAAAATATAACCATAATTCACCTTCATTTTGAGTTCAAAATTTAACTGCATCAATTTTCAGCTGTTGTGAATAGCTGAAAATGAACGCGCACTGTTTGACTAATTCTTGACTTTTTGCTCTTTTTCTCCTTTCTTTGCTCTTTTTTCTTTTTAGTGGATGTTAACCTAAGTGCTAAAACAGCAAACCCTTTCCTTTGGGTCTCAGATGACAGAAAGCAGGTGAGGCACACGGATAAGCTTCAGGAAGTACCGGAGAACCCCAAGAGGTTTGACAGAGTGGGAAATGTTCTGGCCAAAGAAAGCTTCGCTGGCGGGAGGTGCTACTGGGAAGTGGAGGTTGGGGAGAAGATAGAATGGACCCTAGGTGTTGCCAGACAGTCCGTAAACAGGAAAGGCAAGTTCACAGTGTGCCCTGCAAATGGTTTCTGGACCTTAAGCCTAAAAGCTGGAGGCCAGTACATTGCAAACACCTCTCCTGTCACCCAGTTGGCTCTAGACCAACGACCCAAGAAGTTTGGAGTGTTTCTGGATTACAACGAAGGTCGTGTGTCCTTCTACTGCGCAGACTCTGGAGTCCACATTCAGACCTTCACGGATAAGTTCACAGATCGGCTCCATCCATTCTTCAGTCCTGGTCGCATGCATGGAGGCAGAAATGCAGCTCCTCTAGTCATCTGCTCAAGTTTTTGCAACATCTAAACCTCATTCCAGTTTAAAAAGAGTTACTTGTTGGTTCTTGTTATCTCCTTAATATTTATCTAGCGTGATTAATGTGTTTATTTATTTACAAAGCTATTGAACAATGAGCCACATTTTCCCTGTCAGAGCAGGCTACTGAACAAGATGGTGCAAAAGGACTACGTCAGTACACTTGAAAACTTCAATGAAACGCATAAACAGACTGAAAAAAGAAAAAAAGTGTGGCAGTAAATAATAGATGGCTGTCATAAATGAACAAGTGAGTGAAAGTAGAAAAAAGAGGATTGCTGAGTTGGATGGATGCGCGGGGCTGCAGGGTTGGGACAGAGGTTGACGAGAAGCAGGGAAAGCGGGGGGGAGGGCACAGTAAAACAGCAGGGCATTGTGCCCGTACACCAGGCACTGGGAGACACACTCAAACACATTCACGCATTCACACACCGACACAGTCGTGCACAGAAGTGCGTGCTTCAGCCCACCGCCACACAGACACACTGGCATCTCGCAGGGCAGCCCCATCTCCAGTCCTGTCCTGGGTGTTGGAGCTGAGAGACAGAGAGCCTCCCCTGCTCTCTGGCCTTCCTGTTGACTGAACTGAATTCTCAGGGCTGTCATTCACAACTTCAGGCATTCACAGCTCAACTACAAAACCTACGGAGCTTCAGGCAAACCGTAAACTGTGAATCATCTCCGGGAGGAGCAGTGAAAGTTCAGCGACCTCTATTTCAGGTAAATATTCCTCATAATAACCATTTCATTAATATTGTTTGGACATTTCCAAATGTCAGAAATGTCTTCACTATGGCTTAAGAGCAAATTTATGCGATGTGCTTTGTTAGTTTGTTAGTTTCCAACACATGTATGTACTGGAAGTGGCTTTTCTTCCATTGTGTTATCTGCAAAACTTCCTAGGAATGAAATGGACATTTTAGTAATGAGATCTGGGAATATTCCAGGGCCCTCTGTTATTTTAATATGGTTTATCCACTGTCATCTGCACCAAACATCACAATAATCTTTCAGAATTAGTTTTACTGGAGTCAAAACTCAAACTAAATAACTGAACTAAATAGTAAAATGCATCCCATTGGTCCTCAATGTCCTGCTGCACATGTATCGATCTTGTTATGAATGGATCGTATAAACAGTATTAGTAAAATTGTAGCTGTAACAAACAGAAGACACAGGTTCTCCTGGCCCACTCTACAGGCTTTCATGAAAGCTGCTTGTGTTCCGAGTCTCCTCATGTTTTTCTGAGATAATCCACCACCCGGCAAGGCGTAGCTCGACACCCACAGTCATGTCAAAGAAAGCTATTCTCTGCGGTTCTTACTGGAATCCAACAGGCCTCCCAGCCTGATTCCAAATATTTATGATAACTATATGCTCCAATAGTCTTTTCATACTTTACTAATGTTATGCTAGTGGTTGTTGTGGTAAATAACAACAGCATGTGATGTAATATCCAGTGTGTCTCTGAGAGTTTTCTTGCGCTGCTTGTTTGATTACTAAGAGAATAACCCGGCTGGTGCAACTATTTTATGTTTTGTTAATTTTAGGATATCAATCCACATCAAACTGACCTCATCGACGCCATCATCCACAGGCGGCGGAGTGGACCACGGCATTTCTAGCAAAATAGACTGTCACATTTCTTTGTGGGACTATAAGTTTGGCCTGTGCAGAGACTAATATATCAGAGACAAGTCCATCTGTCTTTCGCCATGGCTACCACGGGCATGCAGTTGCTGGGTCTGATCCTTTCCATCGTGGGCTGGGTGGGTGGGTTAATAGTTTGTGCCATCCCCCTGTGGCGGGTCACCGCCTTCATCGGTAACAACATAGTGACAGCTCAGATCATTTGGGAAGGCCTTTGGATGAATTGCATAGTGCAGAGCACAGGTGAGATCCAGTGTAAGGTGTACGATAGCTTGCTGGCTCTGCCCAGCGACATGCAGGCCGCCCGCGGCCTCACTGTGTTGTCCATCCTGCTCTGTGGCCTGGCTCTGGCTCTGGGGGTCCTAGGAGTCAAGTGCACTAAATGCATCGGCGTAAACAGCCTTAAAGCCCGCATTGCTCGCATTTCTGGCTCCCTTTTTGCCATCGCGGGGTTTCTTTACCTTGTGCCCGTCTGCTGGACTGCCCACTCCATCATCAGGGATTTCTATGATCCACATGTGGCAGCTCCACACAAGCGTGAGCTCGGCCCTGCCCTTTACATCGGCTGGGGGGCGTCAGCCTTGCTTCTAATTGGGGGGTCACTGCTCTATGCGGGGTCAAGTCCTCCCGGAATCCCAGGCTCTCCCACTTTCAGCAGTGGAGAGAGCAGTCCACGCAGGGCACCTGCCACACAAGTCAAAGGTTATGTCTAAAATGTCTGAAGGCCTTCCACAAATCCACCCCGAATAATGTCAAACCTGTCTTTTCTCCTCTTGACATTGATTCATGTAATTATTTTTTTATTAAGTGTCACTTTTCTTTTGTTGTCTTGAGAAACGTCACAGGAGGCTGAAAACTGAACTTGTTTTATTATGTCATACCTGATACCCTTCAATAACACTCTTTCTCTGTCTGCCAGTTAAATACAATAAACGTTGTATGCTCTGTGGAGGAAAAATGGTGTGTGCTTACATTTGTACCATTACATATATTAAAGCTCCTCAAAATACTTGTTTTACAAGGAAAAACCTTTGAGTCATTTATGTAAACACTACGAGGGGTTCTGCTGAATGGAGAAGAACAATAGAACAATGGAGATGTGTGTGCATTAGCATGTGGTGCCATATTTTTCAGTGTGTGTGTGTGTGTGTTGTCCTGTCTTCCATCTCATTTTCCTTATCTGAGTTACTCTATACGGCGGGAACAAAGAAAAATACATGATCCTTTTTTCACTTCATAAAGATCCTGCTATTTCTTCTAATAAAATCACACATTGCTCCAGCAGATAACTGTATGATAACAAGCAAAAACCAGATTGAGCCTGAATCTCTATCTGTCTTTGCATGTGTTCATGTAGCACAATTCCAAGCACCATCTTTATTCATGAGATATTATCCTTGTTCTTAAACCTGATTGATTGCACTGTAGGTGACTGTAAATATAATTGTAGTTGTGCGGGCATGCATTAATCTATCAGTTCCTTTGCTTTCTGTCTGTGACAACAGAAGACAGAGCAACACAATGCCACTCTATAGAGCATTACAGCACCACAATAACAATAGCCACTAGTGTTCCAAGTGCCAGGTAGTGACTCACACATGACCTAAGTAGGCCTTTACCAGTGCTGGTAGAGTAATGATGTGAATACTGTAAGTCTGTGGCATTTTACTGTATGCTTACAAAGAGGACAACACAGGGAGACGAGTGCACTAGTTACATTGTAAATAATGAATGGAGTGCTTCAAAGTGGCTTCGAGGTATGGTGTCAATGCAGTTCTTAACAATGACAGTAACAAAGAGTTAACACAGAAGTTGATTACATGAAAGTGAACTAATGAGTGTATCATTTACAAGGAGGCGATAACTGCACACGTCACTGATGCATTTGAGACTTTGGGCAACACTGATGTGTGTCCAGTTCATCTAAGATCTGCTTTCTAGAGCTCTAGAGTTCCCTGAGTAAATACAAACACTGATAATTGTCTGTGAAGTCTTTTGGTGTGAGTGCTGTAGTATGTGTGAAGTGGGGTATAGTTCTTTTCTCTTTCCTTAGGCTGTAAAAATCAAGGGTACATGTGCAGAAAATGTGAAATAAAGACAAACAAACAAAAATGATATTGGGATTTGGTTGTTTCCAAAGTCAACATAACCTTAAAATAAATGTAGCCTAATGAATTGAAGAAAAAAGAAACGTTTTTCCTAAAGATATTTTCATAATCGCATATGTATGTTCAAGTTTTAACATAATTTAAAACCACTTTCTTAAAGTCAGATTCTATTCATCGTTCCTCCATTTATTCGATTCAAGTTCTGGCTGGCTGGAGCCCATCTGTCTTAGGTGCACTCTGGACAGGTCACCAGTTCCACATAGGAAGGCCCCAGTTGGCCTGTGGATTTGAACCCAAGATGTTGCTGCTGTGATCATCACATCATCATCATCACCCTGCTGCCAAAGTCAGATTCCTACATGCAAACTCTTACTCAGATAGAAGGTATCAAGAAATAACTCACTGTTTGTCTGTGTTAGTCCGTTACATAAAACTGGAGGATTTTGATCATGCTTTTAAGTGATTTGCTGCATGTCAAAATGTCCTGGAGTGCAGAAAGATGATCATGAAAATCAAAACTGCCATGGGTGTTTAATTACATTTTTGGATGTTATTGTGCCTTGAGCACCAACTAATACACATCACTTTACACTTATGAAAGTTCAATTTGCTTTATCAAAGAGCATAATTCTTCTTGTTCTTTTGGCTGCTTTCTTTAGCAAAGAATCTTCTCTTTTCCCTCTGCCTAGCATCTCCATATTCAGTATCCTTTGTCTTATATAGCCACTATCGGTCCTCTGCACGTGTCTAAATCATGTCAGCCTTGTCTATAAACTGCTCAACATGAGCTGCCCTGTCAGTATTGCCTCAGAACCAGTCTCTACTGTAATTCCACCCTCACCTTAAACCAATCTGTCACTCCTACCACACATCTCATCAATGACTTGCTGATAATGTATATTTTTATTTAGATTTCTAAAGCGGCAATCATCATGTCAAGGTTTCGCTTAACAATAAATCAATCAATAAATCAATAAATAAATTCAATAAATTAAAAAAAATAATAAAATGCACCCGTAATTGCGCATACTCGCCGCGAGAGGGAGACATTTCATGCGTGTCGCTGTTTCTGCGACGGAAGTGGGAAGTCAGAGGAGGCTGTACCTGCTGTACAGCTGTGCTCCGTGGCTAACAGCTAACCTCCGTTGTGAAAGTATCGGGATCCGCTAATTAAATAAGTCATCTCGACAGCCACTCTGAGACTCTGACTTTAACATGGGAAAAGGTGGAGGCACATTTGAAAGGCTTCTCGGTAAGTTAACAGCACATGCGTAAGTTGAGAGTAAAATAAGCAACTATAAGGCAGAGTGCGATGTTTTCCAGCGTATTGTTTTGACAGTCGATCGGGCTGTGGCTCCCAGGCCAGCTAGCTTTTTTTTCCTAGCCTGCTAACAAATTCGCTGCTATTGTTCGAAGGCCAAGAAATGCTAAGAAGTTAGCTGAAGCGAACAGTTTTAACTCAAAGTCTGGTCCAGTGTTATCGCCTTGCTTTTAGTTAAGCTAAC